TTTTTTTTTTTTTTTTTTTTTTTTTTTTTGCCTTTCACTACCTAGCTACCGATTATCCTAAGGGCCTCGTTAGACCCTCCTTGGAAAATCCTCAGGAATTAGGATGAAGTCCTTGGAAAATTTTCCGGTTTTCGGCGTAGTCGTTACACCGCGTCCTAATTCAATGGGTCCCAAGGAAAACCCTTGGAGGTCTCCAGCGGCCAATTTCATACGCATACACGCGGCCACGGGGGTGGATGTCCATCATCATGCTTGGATGTCTGTGCGTCCTTGGGCGACGTAGTGTGTATGCGTAACGGTTCTCTACTGCGACATCGCCTTCGTGTTCCCCATGCTCTTCGGGCCGTCGCAGCTTAGCGCGAACGTAACGCTTCTGTGAAACGTGGAGCGTGCGAGCGCGGTCCCCATCAACGTGCAAAAGGTGCAGCGCCGGCGCCGGCGGGCGAACAAGTGGTGGGTGCTTGCACATTGCAAGTCCTGATGATGGAACAAGAGCTCTCAGGTGGTGCAAAGGCGTTAACGGCATTGGAGAGAAACATGGTGGTCGCAGCTGTGTCAGTCATCGCCATGCGTTATCGCATTGAAAGAACGACAACTCGCCTGAGGATGAGATTGCTCTTTCGCAGGCAGAGGCAGCTGATGCAACAAGTCATGGATGCACCCGATTGTGTGTCGTTATCGGAATCCATTGTGCAATTCTCTTGCGCCATGTTGCCTCCGACAAAACCATGTTGCCCACCCGCCCCAACAGCAGCTGTCAGAGGCGGGGTGGGGCCACCGGTGAGGGTCCGGCTAACACAAAGACCGAGCATTTTGCCAATAGCTGCACCTCCCTTTTCACCGTCCCCCACCCCCCATCGAATAGCAGCAGTGACTAAGGCCAACACTCCTCGACGCCTCTACAACACCCTGGGCTAAAAAAAAAAAAAAAAAAAAAAAAAAAAAAAAAAAAAAAAAAAAAAAAAAAAAAAAAAACTCCTCGACACTAGACACAACCCACTCACACTGCACCAGTGTTGGCCAAAGACCCTAGTAATACTGATCAGAGGTATCAAGCAGACTGTGACAGCTGGTTGGCACCAAATGCGCCGCGGTAGATCTCGGGGCTGGAACCACAACCTCCTGAATGCCACTTGCGTGACTAATGAACTGAGCTAGGCCGCTGATCTGAAGCTTATCTTTTCAGCTAGGTCAAGAATATAACGGCCATATATGCTCCAACCTGCACAAGTAGATAGGATGCCCTTGGTCCCAGATCAGTAGGAGAGACCACTGTACCATCTGCCCCCATATATTCTCCAAAGTGGGAGACATCTGTGCAGTACTATCTGCCTCTGCAGTGCCCTATGGTTACCGTCTTCCCCCAAACATAACTCACCCTGATAATGAATGTATAGTACCAGGCTTTTCTTTTTTTTTTGATCTTGCTGGGGGCTCCAGTCTATTGGTGGGGAACAGCACCTGCTGGAAAGCGGGTCCAGCGTCCCTTGAGATACAATGATAAGTTGATACATCAGCACATGCTGGGAACCGGGCCCAGCGTCCCTTATGAAGCCTTCCAATTCATTGATCCAGTCCATTCCTAGGAGACAATTTGGGTTGGGGGACTGCGTGTGTCTCTTCACCTTCTGTAGAAGCTATCTTAGCAGTTTGGTATAGCCGTAAAGGGGGTGCAATGGTGCATTGTGTTTGGGCGAAGACCGTACTAGTAGGCCTGAGGCGGCTGAAGGATGACCAAGACAACTTGTTGAAGTCTGTTCACTCCATAGAGAATCTGGATTTTAATTTTAAACCACCAGTACCTTTCCCAGCCAACTTGCCGAAACGTGTCGGTTAACACGGAGGGCACACTCGGCCTCCTGCGGCGACCAGATGCGCCCCCCAAAACTCGGCGTGCAGGGCCCGCCACCCTTTCTAGGAATGGTACTGGCGGTTT